AATTTTATATGTAAAATCGAAGAAAAAAATCACTCTGGTATACACAAACCTACCCGATTTAACCAAGATTGTTCCTTGAATCATAAAAAATCAAAATATATAGAAAACCCTTTATTTTGACATATTTTTTGCCAGGGTAAACAAATAAGATTCGAAGAAAATATTAATGTGAAGTTGTTCTACCAGCTCTATAAGTTCTATAATATAACAATAAATTAAGAAATTTGTATATGCACAATTCAATATTTGGACTTATTTTTTTTTTTACATTGAGGATGAGAATATTTGGATGAGCCTCACTGATGAAAATATAATAGAAATGGTAAACCAAGAAGGGGAAGAGAGTAGTAAAGAGGAAAATGAATTAGTAGAAAAAATCAAAATCATAAGTAACACAGTAGCTAGAGAGTCAGTAGATATATTTTTAAAATATTTGTACCAGAATTTGGAGAGGTTGATGATGAAATAAGGGTTTTGAGAAGATTAAATAGACGGATTGGATTAGCCATTCAAAAAAATCTTAAACAACCGGCCTCCACCACCACTTTGAGGATAAAATGATTGAGTAGATTCAGTTTATTTTATTCAAATCCAATGTCATATTTGATTTTAAATGTATCATTTAAAATTCATTTTGATGATAGCCTATCTATTTTATCTAATTATGTACTGTATATCTTATATTCATCATTGTATAACAAAAATAATTTGTATTTTTACAAACTTTAATATCAAGAAACTGAAAATTAATATTTGCCAAGGTAATAAAATAGAATAAAATTTTCCTACAATCACTGCTGGAAAAAATCCATCACACAACATGACACAAATATGTTGGCTGGTTATAATGAACTCTGTCTATAACAAATGAAAATTTTCATGACAGGGGGTTCGGTACAGCCAGAGACAACTGTAGTAGCCAGATAAATAAAAATAAATAAATAATTTAATACATAATAAGTGACAGGATTTAACTTATACAGGTAAGTCATCTGGTATAGCTAAATCAATTTGTTTAGAATCTACAAAATATTTATCACAAGAGTGGATATTAATAAATA